TTGTAAAGTTCTCCCTCACCCCTTAAGTCATGTCCGTCTCAGAACAGGAAAACATAGACAACAAAGCACACGGGAAACGCCTAATAAATTAACTGTAAAACACGTCATCATCTCCACAGCACCAGCAGAGTTGACACAGTAAATGGCACAGTATAGAAGTGACACAGCAGAAGTGACACAGCAAAAGTGACACAGCAGAAGTGACAGTAGATGGCACAGTATAGAAGTGACACAGTAGAAGTGACTGAGTAGAAGTGACATAGTAGGAGACAGGAGGAGTGACACAGTAGAAGTGACACAGCAGGAGTGACACAGTAGAAGTGACACAGTATAGAAGTGACACAGCAGGAGTGACACAGTAGGAGACAGGAGTGACACAGCAGAAGTGACAGTAGATGGCACAGTATAGAAGTGACACAGTAGAAGTGACATAGTAGGAGACAGTAGAAGTGACACAGTAGGAGTGACACAGTAGAAGTGACACAGCAGAAGTGACACAGTAGGAGACAGGAGTGACACAGCAGAAGTGACAGTAGATGGCACAGTATAGAAGTGACACAGTAGAAGTGACATAATGAGGAGACAGGAGGTGACACAGTAGAAAGTGACACAGGAGGGTGACACAGTAGAAGTGACACAGCAGAAGTGACACAGTAGAGGAGACAGGAGTGACACAACAGCAAGTGACAGTAGATGGCACAGTATAGAGTGACACAGTGAAGTGACACAGCAGGAGTGACACAGTAGAAATTGGCCCCTGTGGGGTGACACAGTAGAAGTGACACAGCAAGGGTGACACAGTAGAAGTGACACAGCAGGAGTGACACAGTGGGGAAGTGACACAGTGGGAATCAGCACAGTAGAAGTGACACAGCAAGAAGTGACAGTAAATGGCACAGTATAGAAGTGACACAGTAGAAGTGACAGTAGAAGTGACACAGCAGAAGTGACACAGTAGGAGACAGGAGTGACACAGCAGAAGTGACAGTAGATGGCACAGTATAGAAGTGACACAGTAGAAGTGACAGAGTAGGAGACAGGAGGAGTGACACAGTAGAAGTGACACAGCAGGAGTGACACAGTAGAAGTGACACAGCAGGAGTGACACAGCAGGAGTGACACAGCAGATGAAACGGGATGAGTGACACAGCAGGAGTCAGAGTACAAGCGACACACCTGGAGGAGGAGGAAGTCCCCAAGGTGCAGCCTAAGGTCAAGTCCCTTTAGTGAAAGGTCTTGACAAATCACAGGGTGTTGTGAGCTTACGACAAACTACCAGGGGAAGCTCGACACACCGGTATACTGTATACGCGAGGTTAAGACCGCACAAACCACTTGGTGTGTGAGGCTAAGACCACTTGGTGTGTGAGGTTAAGACCACTTGGTGTGTGAGGTTAAGACCACTTGGTATGTGAGGCTAAGACCACTTGGTGTGTGAGGCTAAGACCACCTGGTGTGTGAGGCTAAGACCACTTGGTGTGTGAGGCTAAGACCACTTGGTGTGTGAGGTTAAGACCACTTGGTGTGTGAGGTTAAGACCACTTGGTGTGTGAGGTTAAGACCACTGCAAACCACTTGGTGTGTGAGGTTAAGAACCATGGTGTGCGAGGCTAGACCACTTGGTGTGTGAGGTTGGGCCACTTGGTGTGGGGCTAAGACCACTTGGTGTGTGAGGTTAAGACCACTTGGTGTGTGAGAGCTAAGAAACCACTTGGTGTGTGAGAGTTAAGACCACTTGGTGTGTGAGGGGCCTAAGACCACTTGGTGTGTGAGGTTAAGACACACTTGGTGTGTGAGGCTAAGACCACCTGGTGTGTGAGGTTAAGACCACTTGGTGTGTGAGTTAGACCACTTGGTGTGTGAGGTTAAGACCACTTGGTGTGTGAGTTAAAGACCACTTGGTGTGTGAGGTTAAGACCACTAAGACCGCACAAACCACTTGGTGTGTGAGGTTAAGACCGCACAAACCACTTGGTGTGTGAGGTTAAGACCACTTGGTGTGTGAGGTTAAGACCGCACAAACCACTTGGTGTGTGAGGTTAAGACCGCACAAACCACTTGGTGTGTGAGGTTAAGACCGCACAAACCACTTGGTGTGTGCGGCTAAGACCACTTGGTGTGTGTTATTACATTGAGATGAAGTTAAGGTGTAGAATTAAGATACACCACTTAGTGTGAGTGGAGGACAAGGCACTTAAGCGTATGATGAATCAAAACCCCCCTTAGTGTAGGTCAGGACCACAGCCTTGGTGCAGGTCAGGACAACGCAAATGGTGCAGGTCAGGGCAACGCACTTGGTGCAGGTCAGGACAACGCAAATGGTGCAGGTCAGGGCAACGCACTTGGTGCAGGTCAGGACAACGCACTTGGTGCAGGTCAGGACAACGCACTTGGTGCAGGTCAGGACAACGCAAATGGTGCAGGTCAGGACAACGCACTTGGTGCAGGTCAGGACAACGCATTTGGTGCAGGTCAGGACAACGCACTTGGTGCAGGTTAGGACAACGCACTTGATGTAGACCAGATGAAAGCACAAGGTAGATTAAACCACGGTGCAGGTCAGGACAACGCAATTGGTGCAGGTCAGGACAACGCAATTGGTGCAGGTCAGGACAACGCAAATGATGCAGGTCAGACAGCGCACTTGGTCAGGGACAACGCACTTGGTGCAGTCAGGACAACGCACTTGGTGGACAACGCACTTGGTGCAGGTCAGGACAACGCACTTGGTGCAGGTCAGGACAACGCACTTGGTGCAGGTCAGGACAACGCACTTGATGTAGACCAGATGAAAGCACAAGGTAAGATTAAACCACGTGGTGTAGGTCAGGAAAAGGCCATTTTGTATAAGTTCAAATGCAAGGCCCAAACCACCTGACACTACCAGGTATTAAGGTAAGGTAAGGTAAGGTATGGTATGGTAAGTTAAGGTAAGGTTGAGGTGAGGTAAGGTAAGGTAAGGTGAGGTGAGGTAAGGTGAGGTAAGGTGAGGTAAGGTAAGGTAAGGTAAGGTAAGGTAAAAGACCCATATATCGGTAAGACAACAGGAGGCAGATGAGAACACTTTGGCCTCTTCTGTGTTCCGACCCTCCTGCCTCCTCCATCACTGGATCATGTTCGCGTGACTCTTCAACCAATATAACCAGGCTCTCATCCAGCCAGGATTCATCGCGACCAACACGAAGCAAGGACTCTTTTTAAAACGCGCACACACACACACACACACACACACACACACACACACACGTACGTTTTTGAGATGGGGGGGGGGTGGCGGTGGTGCGAGGATTTCCAATACGTCTTCTTCCGGGCGGTTTTGAAGGTGTGGGATGCGGGTATCATGTTACGGCGTGTGGATGTGGTTACTATGTTGGCTATCATGTTCCGGAGACAGTGTGGATAAGGGTATTAGGGTGGATATATTATGCTGAACACGGCGGATATCATGTTACGGTGTTTGTGTTTGTGGATAAATACAGGATATCATGTTACGGTATGTGGCCGTCGGTATCACGGCGGATATCTCGTTACGGAGACATTGTGGATGAGGATGTTATATCACTTATCCTGTCTAAAAGGAAGTGTGACTATATCTATCACGTCGCTTATCATGTTGAAAGCACTGTGGATACATATATCATGACGCTTATCGTGTTAGAGCCTCACTAAATATGGTTATCATATAAGATATTAGATACCAAACCGGCATCAATATCAGGTTCACACAGGATATGTCAAAGGCGGCGTGATAATAGGCCTCAGCCGAGATAACAGACAATGAAGCCGGCGTGAATTTATGCACGATGCCGCATTTCACATGTGAGCCGGCATGAAGGGGGGGGGGCATCACGCCGCACAACATATATTAGAGGCGGTATAACTGCGGGCATCATGCAGTAGAACAGTTATTTATGACTAATAACACTGAGGGTATCCGGAAGGAGGTGCATGACTGAAGAATTGATCCCCCACTGTGTCATGCACCCGCCTGCCTGTGCATGAATGCCGCATATCGATGTAGCTATTTACTAAAGGATAATTATAGGGGCGACTGTCAGGCGATGCTTTCAAGTCCCTCATAACAGAGTACCAAGTGAGTGTCGGTGTTTCTGGCGGCAGCACAAGGTCATGCGACAACCACCTCACCTCTCCTCTCCTTAGTTATCTCCGCTTCGACTCAATTCATATTAAAGAGAGAATTATTTTCCTCTTTTATGAGCCATATTGCGGACAAGCGATGGAGGACCGCGGCCGCTAATGACGCCTGCGTGTTTACACTGGCACAGCAATGAGGAACTACCTTTTTACATCGAGGGCACTTGACATGTGAGGGGCTGCTAGTCAAAGCCCCGCAGTGCAGTCAATAGTGAAGGCGATGGGAAGATAAAAATGCTTCGAAACAAGAAAGACTTGGTGGAGAAGACACGCGGCGAGAGGCGTGGCCCAGGCCGGCACCTCCCCCCTCCCCCCCAACCACTCGCTCTCTGGCGCTCTCTCTCTCTCCTATTGATTTTTCAGATCCAGACAGAAACGAATCGATACCGTTGTCCTACTATAGGGCAGAATCTCACTCATCTATCTTGGAACATCAACCCGATGAAGCTTAAAGGCCAGAAAGGTGTTAGTGTGCCAGTGTGTGTGACCATGTTAGGGTCAATACCTAAGAGTCTGCTACAGAGCCACGGCCAGCGAGGTGGGTCTTCCCACGCCCACGCTATCCACTCACCTCCCCCCCCTACTCAACAACACCATCGCCTGACACCTCCACAACTAACACACACAATCACTATTACCATGAACGAGCTACAGTCACAACGTAATGTACCGTTGCTGACACACGCACAGGTTAACGTAGATAATTACAGAGGCGGTGCGTTACGGCCATCCTGGAAAATATGTTACGAGGCGACAAGACGGGAGATCCTTCAGCAGTATTTGGACAACCTGTGTTGTGTCATAATGACCTGCCAACCACGTTAACCTTCGTCAGTGTTCACCACCTTAACGACACCACGCACACTGTAGTTCGAAGGTCCTCCTCAAGTTCCTTCCTTCCTTCCTTCCTTCCTTCCCGCTCGAGGGGCAACACCACACTGAGGGCGGCCAAGCTGCACTCTCGTCCTCCCTCCACCGCGGGTCTCCTATACACCAAGTGCTGTTGAGTTCGCTTTTCCAGGCCGTCATCTCCCGGCACTAAAACCTTAGCTAGCACAGTTCCACACGCACACACACATCTTCCTACTGTGTGTGGGCGTAGAGACCGAGCACAGCAACAGCGCAGCACAACACAGCACACAACAGCAGCACCACAAAGCACCGCTCACCAGCCGGCGTTCTACTAGACTGAGGTTCCTCGACACAGGATCGGCAGGGCAGGCAAGAGTCGGCACCCAACGAGCCAGCCCGGCCGGGGATGTCGGCCGTTTCGTATCAGTTAGGGGAGGGGGGGGAGGGGGGTCTTGATGACGTCAGTCTGGTAGGATAGGACCACTGCCGCCTTCATGACGTCACTTGGCCCCCGCCATCATTACTGCACCAACTTACCCAAAAACATCTATATTCCTCCTTCGCAGGGGGGGGGAGGGGGGATGAAGGACCTCCTCCACCACACACCCCAGATATTCACGACACGAAGCTCCACAAACTTTATTGATAGAAACATGTAATGGTTTCATTCATAGCTACCCCCTCGTCCCCTGTCTGTAATATCAGCATCACAACCACAATAACTGTTAAGTTTTGCCACACACTCTCTCTCTCTCTCTCTCTCTCTCTCTCTCTCTCTCACACACACACACGCTCTTTCTCTCTCACACACACACACACATTCTCTCTTTCTCTCTCTTACACACACACACACAGAGGCTCGCACGACTGCAGTTATCGTGTATGGCTCAGCGCGCAGAGTGGGCAGGAGGGGGCGAGCGGTGGTATGACCCAGCAACACTAGGTGGGCCAGCAACACTAGGTGGGCCAGCAACACTATGCAGGCAGGGTGTGTGTGAGGCACGAGATACCAGCCGCGGCACTACAAACACTTTAGCACCCGGCGGCGTACACTGTGCGGCAAGAGTGCGGTACATATACACACGCACACTATATCACCCGGCGGCGTACACTATGCGGCAACAGTGCGGTACATATACACACGCACACTATATCACCCGGCGGCGTACACTATGCGGCAAGAGTACGGTACATACACGCACGCACACTATATCACCCGACGGCGTACACTATGCGGCAAGAATACGGTACACTATACACACACACACACACGGAGCACCAGCGGCCCCTAGCGTACTGACGGCGGCGTTGTACAGCACTGAGCTCCCCTCACAGGCTCGCTATGACCAGCGGGAAGCCAGAGCCACTCGACCAAGCCAGCCAGCCAGCCAGCCAGCAGCCAGCAGCCAGCCAGCAGCCAGCCATTCAACCAACCAACCAACCATCCAAACAGTCAACCAGCCAACCATCCAGGCAGCCAACCATCCAGCCAACCGACCAACCAACCAAGAAGCCAACCATCCAAGCAACCAACCACCCAAGCAGCCAACCATCCTGGCAGTCAACCATCCAACCAACCAACCAACCAGCCAGCCAACCAGCCAACCAACCAGCCCAGCCAGCCAACCAGCCACAGCCAGCCAGCCAACCAACTAGCCAACCAACCAGCCAGCCAACTAGCCAACCAACCAGCCAGCCAACCAACCAGCCAACCAGCCAGCCAACCAACCAACTAACCAGCCAACCAACCAACCAACCATAAGAACATAAGAAAATAAGGAGTCTGCAATAGGCCGGTTGGCCTGTGCAGTGTGCATGGCAGCTCCTGTCGAGAGTTACTACCACTCTCTATCATCCATGAATCTATCTAGCCTCCTTCTAAAACTTTCCAGCGTTCCAGCACTTACTACAAAGTTGCTAAGCTTGTTCCACTCGTCCACCACCCTATTTGTGAACCAGTTCCTTCCTATCTCCCTCCTAAACCTAAACTTATCCAACTTAAATCCGTTGCTCCGAGTCCTATCCTGCTCGGATATTATAAGAACTTTATCTATATCTCCTTTATTGATTTCTTTCACCCACTTAAATACTTCTACCATATCTCCCCGCACTCTTCGTCTTTCTAGGGAATGCAAGTTTAGTTTCTTTAACCTATCCTGATATGGAAGTCCCGGAATCATTTTCGTCACTCTTCGCTGCACCGACTCTAGTGAATTGATATCCATTCTATAATAAGGGCACCAGAACTGAACCGCATAATCGAGGTTCAGCCTGACTAGCGCAAGATATAGTTGCAATAAGACCTCTGCACTCTTGTTACTTACACTTCTAGATATAAAACCCAATACTCTGTTTGCCTTATTTCGAACATTAACGCACTGTTTTCTAGGCCGTAGGTCCGGGTTTAAAAGTACCCCTAAGTCTCTTTCACAAGTCGACTTCTCTAGGTTGATGTTGTTAAGCCAACCAACCAACCAGCCAGCCAACCAACCA